TCCCTCAGGAACTCTCCATTCCCTTCCCAGCTCCCTCAGGAACTCTCCATTCCCTTCCCAGCTCCTCAGGAACTCTCCATTCCCTTCCCAGCTCCGTTCCCTGCCCTGGCCGGGCTCCAGCCCCTCGGGGCTCTCGGGATCTGCCCATCCCTGGGGACAAGGACACTGCCCTGGCCCAGCTGCCACAGCCCAGCGGCCTCTTGTCCACCTCCGGCTCGTGTCCGGGCCGCTGGCGCTGCAGGAGCCGACATTCCCCAGGGAATTCCTCCGCCACGCAGCGCCCGGGCACGAAGATGTCGGGCGAGGCCGTGCCCGGCTTTGCCTCGCTCGGCGCCGCCCCGAGAGCCCCGGCGACGGCAGGTGACACACGCAGGGCAGCACAAGGGACATGTGTGCTCCAGGGCGGCCCCAGAGGCAGGAGCAGCGGCGAGCAGGGCGGCAGCAGCCGCGGCCCCGCCGCCATGGAGCATGAATGGCTGGAACCAAAGCCGCCCTCAGCGCTCCGTCCGCAGCCGCTTCCCCGGGGAAAGCCTCACAAAGAGGGCTCGGCCTCTCCGAAAGGACTTCCCGGGGATGTTTGTGCCATGTGCTTGTCTTTATGGATGGCGCAGGCCTGGAAATCAAGGGAGATCCTGAGGGGACAGGGACGGACTTCACAGTGAGCCACCAACAAAGGGGCTGGTGGCAGGATGGGAACCAGCTCCCGGCAAACAAACAATGTGCAATTCTTGGCCGGAAACAATGGCTTGATTTTTTTTTTTTTTTTTTTTTTAAGGGAAAAAAGGACTTATTTCACAGTAATTCTGTGGAATTCATTCATCCTGCAATGAATTGATGGATGAATTCTCCTCAGGACATCCCTCAGGAAGGTGTTCCTGAGAGGAAACCCCTTTTTGGGATGGGGATTTGGATGTGTCAAATAAAGACCCTGCTGGGAAATGCCACAGGTAGCTTTAAATCAATAAATAAATGTGTTAAAAGCAGCAGTCAGCACCGTGACTCCGAGTTCTTCCCTTTTCTCCACAAAAATTTGTTTTTTTTCTGACAGATTCTGTGATTTACAGCTTCAGCTTTCCCAGTCTCCCTCACTCTGAACACCAGGACGGTTCCTCCTCAATTCCCAGGAATGTCCCTCCCACCAGGACAGGCTCCACTCAGCCAGAGAACCTCCCTGAGCTGCTTCCTGGGGACACCCCACACCTTTTTGGGAGCCCCATTCCCCAGGTGCCTCTTCTGGGAGGGATTTTTGGATTTCCAAGCCAGGTCCCACCTTGTTCCTGCAGGAGGGGATGGCCCAGCCGCCTCTCCTGGGTTTGTGGAGGAAAACCAGGAAGGTTTTGACACTCGTGTGCTCCCCAAATCTGGAATATTTTTATTTTAAGGCACAGGAACTGAGCTTGAGCCCCAAGCCCAGCTGACCCCAGACACCTCCAGCCTCCTGGTCCCTTTCCCTGAAGCATCTCCAGTTTCCTTCCCGCCTCTCTTCCAAATTCTCATCCCACAAATGGCTTTTTCCACACATGACTGAGCACTTTTCCAAGAACTGGGTAAATCCCACCTTTCCCTCAGCTTTCTGCACAGTTTTAAAGGCCACGAGACTTAATATAGCTCAAGAAACTGGGATGAGATCCATGAGGAAAAGCACTTTTCCTAATGAAAACAGGCTTGGCTTTAAGTTCCTTGCTGCTTTTAATGCACCACACTTGTCCAGTTTGGCCAAATAATTGCTAAATTTTTGATAGCCAATCCATTGCTCCAGGAAGAATTAAAATAAATAGTTATATTTTAATTTTTTTTTAAATAGAAATGTCTTGGATAAAAGGAGATAAGATTGATGTGGTTCTGAGAATCCCAGAGTGCTCAAGGTGGGGCCACCTAAAAAGAGCTGCTCAGGGCAGGATTTCTACAGAACCACCAGGCTGGAAGAGACCTTCAGGACCACCGAGTCCAGCCCAGCCCCAGCACCTCAGCTCAGCCCTGGCACCCAGAGCCACATCCAGGCTTTGTCAAACACACCAGGGATGGGGACTCCCCCAGCAGAGTGAACTGCAGAACCTTATCACCCTCAGGTTTAGGTTTTACATTTTTCAGGTTCTGTGCTGCTTTAGTGTGTGGGTCTGGGTTTCATTTTAGGGGATGATGAAAAGTAGGGAGACAAAACAATTCCTGCTCCAGCTGGGCACCAAGGACAATGATCCAAATCTCAGCCCAGGAGCACAAACACCGTGGGCTGGAGAGAGAAAAACCAGCAGGGTGGGACTGATGGGCTAAAGCTGGAATGGGACAATGAACTCCAAGGTGCCAATGGAGCAGAACTGGTCCCAGGGAGAGCCCCGGGAGCGCTCGTGCATTTTGGGACCATTTTGGGTCATTTGGGTGCAGCCCTGGCTGGGCTCTGGTGCTGCCCAAGGTGGATCTATGAGGAGATCCTGGAATAAATCCCTGCTTTGTTCTTCAGCTCTGTTCATTGGGGAGATCAGATCCTTTTAATGAATCCCTGCTTTATTCTTTAATCCCATCCAGCCTCTGTTCCAGCTCAGCCTTCCCAAGGCACCAGCCCTTCCTGCAGAACACTTTTCCCTGGCATCCACCCTGTGTTTTCTCCCACCTTGAGTTTCTGGGCCTCGCCCCGGACCTTGAGCAGCTCGGTGATGGAGTCCACGAAGCCCTGGTAGTGGAAGTTGCACATCTTCTCGATCTCCCGGTCGTGGTTGCGGATCCGCGCCTCCAACTTCTCCATGAAGCGCCCGTGCTCCTCGCCGTCGTACACGGACCTGTGGGGACAGCCAGAGCAGCAATCCCAGATCAGCATTCCCAAATCTGCAATCCCAGCTCAGCAATCCCAGATCAGCATTCCCAGCTCAGCAATCCCAAATCAGCAATCCCAGCTCAGCATTCCCAGATCAGCAATCCCAGCTGAGCATTCCCAGATCAGCATTCCCAGCTCAGCAATCCCATTTGAGCATTCCCAGCTCAGCAATCCCAGATCAGCAATCCCAGCTCAGCATTCCCAGATCAGCAATCCCAGCTCAGCAATCCCAGATCAGCATTCCCAGATCAGCATTTCCAGCTCAGCATTCCCAGATCAGCATTCCCAAATCAGCATTCCCAGATCAGCATTCCCAGATCAGCAATCCCAGCTCAGCAATCCCAGATCAGCAATCCCAGATCAGCATTCCCAGCTCAGCAATCCCAGATCAGCAATCCCAGCTGAGCATTCCCAGCTCAGCAATCCCAGCTCAGCAATCCCAAATCAGCAATCCCAGCTCAGCAATCCCAAATCAGCATTCCCAGATCAGCAATCCCAGATCAGCAATCCCAGCTCAGCATTCCCAGCTCAGCATTCCCAGATCAGCAATCCCAGTTGAGCATTCCCAGATCAGCAATCCCAGCTGAGCATTCCCAGCTCAGCAATCCCAGATCAGCAATCCCAGATCAGCAATCCCAGATCAGCAATCCCAGCTGAGCATTCCCAGATCAGCATTCCCAGATCAGCAATCCCAGATCAGCAATCCCAGCTGAGCATTCCCAGATCAGCAATCCCAGATCAGCAATCCCAGATCAGCAATCCCAGATCAGCATTCCCAGCTCAGCATTCCCAGCTCAGCAATCCCAGATCAGCAATCCCAGCTGAGCATTCCCAGATCAGCAATCCCAGATCAGCAATCCCAGATCAGCAATCCCAGCTGAGCATTCCCAGCTCAGCAATCCCAGATCAGCATTCCCAGATCAGCAATCCCATCTGAGCAATCCCAGCTCTGCTGCCAGGATGAGCCAAAATCTGACCCCAAAACTGTCCTCTGGACACCCAGCTCAGAATCCCCAGCTCTGCTGCCAGGATCCAGCAGGAACATCCAAACAAAGCATGACCCCAAAAGGAACAAAAAGGAATGTTCCTCACCCAGGAACATCCAAAACTGACCCCAAAAACGCCCTCTGGACACCCAGCTCAGCAGCTCCAGCTGTGCTGCCAGGATCCACTGGGAACATCCAAAACTGACCCCAAAAACGCCCTCTGGACACCCAGCTCAGCATTCCCAGTTCTGCTGCCAGGATCCAGCAGGAACGTCCGAAGCATGACCCCAAAAGGAACAAAAAGGAATGTTCCTCACACAGAAACTCTGACCCCAAAAACGCCCTCTGGACAGGCCAGCTCAGCATCCCAGACTCTGCTGCCAGGATCCAGCAGGAAGGTTCAAAAAGGAATGTTTCTCACCCAGGAACATCCAAAACTGACCCCAAAAACGCCCTCTGGACACCCAGCTCAGCAGCTCCAGCTCTGCTGCCAGGATCCAGCAGGAACTTCCAAACCTGACCCCAAAAGGAACAAAAAGGAATGTTCCTCACCCAGGAACATCCAAAACTGACCCCAAAAACAGCCTCTGGACACCCAGCTCAGCAGCTCCAGCTGTGCTGCCAGGATCCAGCAGGAAGGAACAAAAAGGAATGTTCCTCACCCAAGATCATCCAAAACCTGACCCCAAAAACAGCCTCTGGACATGCCAACTCAGCATCCCCAGTTCTGCTGCCAGGATCCAGCAGGAACGTCCGAAGCATGACCCCAAAAGGAACAAAAAGGAATGTTCCTCACCCAGGATCATCCAAAACCTGACCCCAAAAATCCCCTCCCGGGACAAAGGGACAGCTCGTAAACCAGACATCAAACTGGGTTTTAAAATGTTTCTATTCCAAGTTTTCTTTCCCTTTTTCCACCATTCTGGTGTTCCCTGAGAAACCAGAACAGGCCTGAAATGTTTCTATTACAACTTTTTTTTTTCCTTTTTTACCATTTTGGTGTTCCCTGAGAGACAAACCAGGCTCAGAATGTTTCCATTCCAACCCTTTTTTCCCTTTTCCCACCATTTTGTGTTCCCTCAGAGACCAGAACGTGCCAGGAGCACCTGAAACAAAGGTTTGCTTTTGAGCTGAGCCATCCCGGAAATCCCGCCTGGAGAATCCTCTGGATGTTCCCTGGGCTCCGAGGGCAGGAGGGACAGAGCTGCCCAAATCCCCTTCCCTTCACACCCCAAATTTTGCCAGCCCAGTTTTAACCCCTGTGGATAAAAGAACAACAGAGCTGGAGATGGGCAGGGCCACCTCAGCCCGAGAAATCCGGATCCAATACACGGAATTTTTCTAGTGTTAAATCATGGAATTCCAGGATTGCTTGGATTGAAAGGATCTTCAATCCCATCCCATGGGCAAGGACAGCTCCCACTGTTCCAGGTGGATCCAACCTGGCCTTGGGCACTCCAGGGATCCAGGGGCAGCCCCAGCAAATCTGGGAATTCCATTCCAGCCAGGAATTCCTTGCCAAGATCCCAGCCCAAGCTCCCCTTTCCCAGTGGGAGCCATTCCCTGGCTCCTGTCCCTCTGTCCCTTGTCCCCAGTCCCTCTCCAGCTCTCCTGGAGCCCCTCCAGGCACTCTGAGCATTCCCTGGATTTTTCCCTTCTCCAGGGGAACATTCCAGCTCTCCCAGAGCAGAGGGGCTCCAGAATCCTGGAATGGTTTGGATGGGAAGGGACCTTAAATCCCAGAAATTCCCATTCCATCATGGCAGGGACACCTCCCACTGTCCCAGGAGGCTCCAGAGCCATCCAACCTGGCCTTGGGCACTCCAGGGATCCAGGGGCAGCCCCAGCAAATCTGGGAATTCCAGCCCAGCCCCTCCCCACCCTCCCAGCCAGGAATTCCTTCCCAAAATCCCATCCATCCCTGCCCTCCCTTCAGCCTAAAACCAAAATACCAGGATGGAAGTGAAAACCAAATTTCCATCCCTCCAATGTTTCCTTGGTCCCAAGTCCCACTCTGGGAATTCCGGGGTTGCTCTCCTGTTTTTTTACAGCAAAACCAGGGATTTCTAATGGATTGTGGCAATCCCACCCTTGGCCCTGCCTTTGAGAAGTTTCGGGTTTCGGGAAAAGCTGAATTCCCTCCTAATCCGAGAGTTAAGCTTGGAGTGAGGTCCATGGATCTGAGCTTGGGTCAGAAATTAATTAGGGATACAGAGGATTCCAGGCAGCCTTTGGAGAGAAAAAATGGGAATGACCAGAGAGGAAAGATGGGAATGACAGAGCTGACCAAGCTGTGAGATTAAAATATTAAAAAATCATTAATGACAGCAGCAAGGAGCTCCAGAAAGATCCAGGAGCCCAGGAATGCAGGTGGACACAGGAAATCCTTTTTCCTGCTCTTCCCTGTGGAGAATCCCATCCCTGCAACCCAAGAAACAGGAAAAAAAATCCCAAGACAGAGCTAAAAACTGGAGAAAATTTGATTCCTATCTAATTCAATTACTATTTAATTCTAATACTATTTAATATTTAATTACTAATACTATAATACTACAACTATAATACTACTAGTAATGCTATTTAATATTTAAATACTATTTTTAGTATTTAAATACTATATTTAATGACTATTTAATACTATTATTTAATGACTTTTTAATATTATTTAATAACTATTTAATACTATTATTTAATTACTATTTAATACTATTATTTAATAACTATTTAATACTGTTATTTAATGACTATTTAATACTATTATTTAATAACTATTTAATACTATTATTTAATGACTATTCAATACTATTATTTAATGACTATTTAATACTATTATTTAATTACTATTTAATGCTATTATTTCATTACTATTTAATGCTATTATTTAATTACTATTTAATACTAATATTTCATTACTATTTAATACTATTATTTAATAACTATTTAATGGTATTATTTAATGACTATTTAATACTATTATTTAATGATTATTTAATGCTATTATTTCATTACTATTGAATGCTATTATTTCATTACTATTGAATGCTATTATTTAATACTGTTATTTCATTACTATTGAATGCTATTATTTCATTACTATTTAATGCTATTATTTAATACTATTATTTCATTACTATTGAATGCTATTGTTTCATTACTATTGAATGCTATTATTTAATACTATTATTTCATTACTATTTCATTACTATTATTTCATTACTATTGAATGCTATTATTTAATACTATTATTTCATTACTATTTAATGCTATTATTTCATTACTGTTTAATGCTATTATTTCATTACTACTGAATGCTATTATTCCGTTACTATTGAATGCTATTATTTAATACTATTATTTCATTACTATTGAATGCTATTATTTCATTACTATTGAATGCTATTATTTAATACTATTATTTCATTACTATTGAATGCTATTGTTTCATTACTATTGAACGCTATTATTTAATACTATTATTTCATTACTATTGAATGCTATTATTTCATTACTATTGAATGCTATTATTTCATTACTATTGAATGCTATTATTTCATTACTATTGAATGCTATTGTTTCATTACTATTGAATGCTATTGTTTCATTACTATTGAATGCTATTATTTAATACTATTATTTCATTACTATTGAATGCTATTATTTCATTACTATTGAACGCTATTATTTAATACTATTATTTCATTACTATTTCATTACTATTCTTTCAGGCCCCCTGAGTTCTGCAGCTTCAGCAGAAGGTTCTCAGCGTGGCAGAAGAAGAACCCCAGGCTTGTAAAAGCTCTGTAAACTCAGTGTACAAGAGGCCAGAGCAGGCGGCGGGAGGAAAACCTCCTGGGATTCCTTTTCCTTACGTTTTCCTGGAGTTTTGGCCGCTGGGATGTGAAATTTGGAGCCCGAGTGCCACCTAGTGCTGCAGGGGCTCGGTGACTCCAGAGGGGCCTGGCCTCAAAAATGAGAATTC